TGGATAATCAGCAGAATAGGTAAATATTCTTGGAAATACTCTCCGCAGGATTCCATCCGGACAAGTCAGAATGATACTGTGGCGGTATGCTCGAAGGAATCCTTCATCAAGTAAGATTTCCCAGCATGCATGAAATAACTCCCTATGGCAGTGCGTATGAAGTGAGGCCATGCCAGTCTTTGATATACCGGACAGGTTGCTTAATACATCTTTAATGCTGTCGGGAAGCTAACAAAAACTGTTCATGTTAATAGTCGAGAATCAAATCAGGAGGACTCACCGAAGGTAAAAATCCTACTAGATGGCATGCTCCCGATTGAGGTAATGATCGTGCGTACTTCGTCAGATTGCCGAAATACAAGCAGAGCGGCCAAGCCTTAGCAGTTCCAAAATTTGCTAGGTGAGTGGCATCAGAAAAGAACATAAGACCCGCTATGACGTGTTCTAATGTACAGCCAGGCTCTTTGGGCAACTTCTGGAGATCGTCCTGAGCTTCTAGCCAGGTATCAGAAGCATAGAGCTCATCGAATATTCGCTCCTGGTGATCGTCCATTGGATCCTTCCATAACCGTTTGAAAGGCAGTAGATGGAATGCGCCTGCTTGGATGTCTGTAAATGCCGCGCGGATCACTTCAACAAGAGGGCGATAATGGAATCCGGAAATACTATACACCTTTGGTCTTTCCTCCCTTGATCTCGTAGGGATGTCGATGGTGACATCGGTCTCGATCCAGTCATCTGGGAAGGTGACTTTCTCCTCGCCCTTATCTTTATCCAATTCTTTCAAGTTCTTCTTCACCGAAAATCCCTCAAGATGCTTAATATCAAAATCGTCAGCCTGGAGAACATCACTGATGAGTCGCTGGACCTCAGTCTCCGATTTCTGGTGACTGCCCGATGTAGAGACTCGTGCCTCGCATGGTGTGATATGGCACTTTCCACTAGGGAGTACACAGCACGACTTGCAGCATCACTCTGTATGCTACCTGCAGCTATTCCTATATGAGGCGCAGCTTTCCCGCACAACGCGCGCCATGCGCGCACCATTCCCGCACTTTGCGATGTATACGCGCGCGCGCTTTCCCGCGCTTGAGCGCCCTATAGCGCCAGCCATCCAGAAGCATCCATCCACTGTCCACCAAGCTCTCTAGTGCGTATATTCCCATTTCTCTTATTTACATATCGTTCCACCTCTATTTTTATCATGGACCCTTACTTACATACATATATCTTTACATACCTTACTCGGTAGCGAGTCGGCTCCGCATGACAGCGCTTAGGCGCCATATAAGCGCCAGCATCACGGACCACGAGGAGAGGGACTTTAGCTCCCACTTACCCACTTACCACCTAGAGAATATAGTTCAATCTATTCTTTGACACCTCGCGCTCGTATCTCTTGTTATTCATCTAATCACCACTTAAGCAAACTCACACTTACTCTCACTTGTCTCCGCTCACGCGCGCGCGCTTCCCGCGCCTCGCGCGTACCTTCGCTTTCCCGCGCCTCGCGCGTACCTGCGCGCTTTCTCGCGCTTCGCATTGGCCGACCAGTAGCGCCTTCAGCACCTACTTCTAGAACCTTGCTGCACTCGCTTCCCCTTTAGGGTCGAACACACTTGTCTTCTCAAGAATAGCAGACTAGGCAACGCGCGACCTCACAACATTATAGATACAGTTTGGAGCGTTTGTTTGCTCCTCGCAGTATTGTTGTTTCTACACCGAGTTCATCCACATCATGAGGCGATAAAGAGTCATATTTGGAAATGGGTAGGGTGGCGGAAAGATCTTTGCTGGGGAGTCAGTTCCTTGGACGATTATCGGACACGAATTGGCAAGTAATGAAGACGGTACGAATCTATCGGGCTCAAATGAAGGACGGCGAGGGTATAGACGACAGATCCCAACCGAGTTAAAGGCGGTCTGAAGAGTATCTCTCAGCGTAAGAAGGACACACCGGATTCTGGACCGGGCTGGGAGTGGTTGAACAGGAACATTATTGCAGTCATTGAGATCCTCAGCCGGATGTTCAATATCATTGAAAGACCTTGGAATACGTCTCCTAGGAAGTACGGGAACTTCTAAAACCCGGTAGAGTGATCAGCAGACATCAAATATTCGGACATAAGATCTCACGATGACATCCATTTCCAAGACTAAGCCCATCGTCCATGTCAAAGTCAACATTTTGTCGCCTTTCCAAGTCGGAGTTATTAAAGGGGTGTTGCAACTCGGGAATTTTGAGACTCGGACTGGGGACATCAGATGACATACAAGGGACTAGACCTGGGCCTGGCCATGGGCTTACAAGGGGCACTGAAAGGCTTCAATGGTAAGATTCTCTATTGACAAGTTTAGTGATTCAGCTCTGACTCGTCAGAAACCAATCGACTCACTTGTGAAGCGTTCGTGGACATATTTGCAGCTAAATGTGCTGAAGTCGCATTCCTCACACACTCTAGTCTTTTCTGTGTTGCAAGAACACTAGACCTCCTAAAAAAACTGCAGCTCGCGCGATGTCTGTTAAGTCCTCGATTGTCTGTTGCTCTCTCCCAAGAGCAACCTCGAGCTCCGCAAGACACCATTGAAAAACACAACAGGATCCAAAGTACTTTTTGTGAAAACCACATGAAGTATTACTGATGCTGGCTATACTGCCTCGTCTGAGCTTCCAAGTTCCGAAGCTTCGACGTTCAACGTTCGAATGTTCCACTTCAGTACATACGTGCATCCAGTGAGAGTTCGAGTCGGAGTTTCATGCTATCCATATTTCAAATTGCTTATCTTTTTGCCTTATACGACGTAGGTTCAATATAGGAATTACGGTTATATTAATATTATACGTACACGTACTCATAAGCAACTGTTCAGCCTTTGGAACCTACATACTTGCCTCCCTCTTGATCCCCTGCCCACGCTAAGCATGTCCATTCACAATCCTTCATACTCTTCCAGAGGGTCTAGTCATGAGTGTGAGGGCAGTGATGGGCCTAGTCGTCGTATGACTGTGGATACACATGAACCTGCTCCAGTTCTTGATATGACGACTGGTAGAACTTTCAGTCGGCATGTCCCGCGAACCAAACACGCAAGGTCACCATCATCAGACGAAACCGACAGTGACATAAACGAACCTGTAACTCCTCCTCCCATAATCCACCATCTATCTCGTTTTGTCAAGCGTGCAAAATCAAACCCAAAGCCTTACAAGAGGAATGGCTCTGCCAGATCGGAGCGCCGCTTTTTTAACAATCAGTTGTGTCACAATGACTCAATGAGTCAGGGAGATGCTGAGAAGGTATGTTGTGATATATAAATGTAGAACTTGCTTATTGACAAAAACATACCAGAGCAAAGATGTGCTTGAGCGTTGCCTGGGAAGGTTGTCTCCTGGGGCTGCAGCTCAAGCTGTCGTTACGATGCACGCTGACATTGAATGGAGGCGTGTGTGTGCTCTGGCAACGGCGTGGGAAATCTATGCTAGTGAGGAGCACTTAAAGTTCCTTCACATGGTTTTGGAGGATGAGGGGGAAGAATACGCAAATGCTTCTCAAGAGCCTCTTGGAATATCAGTCCAGGAGCTCGTAAGATCTAATGAGACGGATATCAAGGAACAGATAGACTGCAGTGTCACAGCATACAGCGACAATATTGCATTGTTCTCTGTTGGAGATACTCAGTTGGATTATCTCGAAAATGCTCGTATGTTTTTTATATATTATGTGAGTAATAGTGTCGCAGCTGACGACCAGCTCAAAGTCACAGATGTGACTAGCGACTCTGACGACTCTGGCATTGCTCTTACAAACTCGGAAGAAGACCGATTCCGCACAACCTCCAAGTTGGGATATTCTGCCGATGCCAGCTGAAGTAATCAGTATTTCTTCGGAGTCACCTGACTTTGCACTGACCTTTTGTTGGCGACAGGCCAATCATCGAGCCGTAGCAACAGGAAAGCAGCAGTAGAATCGCACTTTTGTTTTTGTAATGCATCATGCATCAGCGGGTTGGATTGTGCCACGGAATGCTACAGAGCGCTCTGTAACACTCTGTAGTGAATTACGTTTCCCTGATGCTGGGACAAAGTTTCCCCTCTAGTTACATCGATGATGTGGGGCGCCAGGCCCCACTTTTTTTATTTGTTCTGCATTCATTCGAGTTGTGTCAGTATTAGTTATCTCTTCCGAGTCACCCAGCCATCCATTTGTTACGATAGCTTACAACATGACATGTACCATTATTACAGCTGTTGCGGACGACTTGTTGTGAAGCCGAACGAGAACGGCACTTGAAATTCAGTTGATTACGCAAGTTCAGTTGGATTATTTGTCGATTTTAACTCTGAAGGACTCAGTAATTACAATACCAGTCAACTATTGGAGCTCAGGAAATCAAGATGTTGGACATAAATGGAGGCCTCTCTAGACAATTACTGTATAGTTATCAGAAGTAGTGAGAAGTGTTCTGAGTCCGAGTCAGTTGACAGCAGCAGACGCTGAATTCAAAATTGGCTGACACGACTAATTTGGACTCAGTGGAAGGTTCCGAATTTCATAGGCGCGAGGCTCAATAGCTGTAGGGCTGCGCAATTCAATTGAACTCCATTTGGCGACAACATGAGTTGCACCTTGTTCCACCCCAAACCCCAATTGACCTCATGATAGTGGGAATTAATGTAGGATGCCCTTCTGACGTGTCGACTTGTCAAATGTGTATGCATCTCAAACAGGAAATAAGTACGTTCCTCCAATCAGACGCGGTGACTGTGTCGAGCTACAGGGGCCTGGCAGGAATGAAGATCTTGATTCAATGAGATCAAAATAATAATATTGTAAGTTATACTTGATTTCTAATAATGTTGTCCAATAGATTCGGTATCGTGTCCGGCATGCTGAGCTTGAAGATTTGACTACCAGTGGAGATACGAAGCATCACGGTCAAATTTTCCCCCCTACTTTCACCCACTGCTTACAAGTCGTTATCGATCAGACTCTCGGATAATGGATATGCCAGATTTTGAATGGCAGACTCAGTACGTTCGTGACTTACCAACTCTCAGTTGATTCATGATGACATGGTCTGGCAGCCTGACGCACCTCTCAGCGAGTCACTCCGAATCAGGCCAACTTCAAGTCGAGCAGTCGCAGCCTGGACTCAGTTTTCCAGCAGGTGGATACGGTACGTTTGTTAATTCAACATCTAGAAGTTGACATTGACATTTATCCGTTCCAAGTTCACAATCTCGAGTTGGGGTACGACATTCAGGCCGAGAATGCCTCAAATGTTTTAGGACACACTTCGGATGACCTACACGCCGCCTTTGATCACGGTGATGGTAAGGTTTTTTGTGTTGCATCAGCCTTCTGCCATACTCACAATCTTCAAGTTCACGCAGGACCCAGTGCAGGTCATCACAATTACGACAGCTACCCGAACACCCAAGGCAACATCGACTTTGGATTGGAGCAGCCAGTCCAGCAGTATGATCCCGGTTCCCAATTCTCTGTCACAGCATATGCTCTGAGTCAAGTCGGCGGCCATCTCGAGCTGCCAATACACGATAGTAGCACCAACCTGAACGGTATTGATTTTGTGTAATTGATTTCTGCCGTTCTAACTTCGACAATTTTTAAGTTCAACACGGTAACTACTCGGTGCCCTCAGGTAGCAGCCAGCAGGGCGTGCAAATGGCACTGCCACATTCTTTCCCAGGGCATGATGGGGGCGGCCATTACTACGGCGGTCACAACTACAATTTCACTGTATCACACGGCACGAACGATCCTCCTCCCCTTCCTGATACCTACCATTCCGTCCACAGCTCAAACAACTCTCAGCCCGCCATGTCTAATGATGTCTACTACTTTATGAGATCCGACGACTCAAACATTCAGGCCCCCCTTGACCCCATACCTGAAGTGACGAAAAAGTTGATCCGGGGTAGGCATACCTCCCGCAAAACCAAATGTGCCACCTCTACCTGGACAAAGTTCCTCGGTTCCAAATACGTCACCCAGGAGTTATCCCTGTCCATGGAACAGGCATCCTCGTCGTTCGTCTTTTTAACACCGATGTTACTCCAGGATTTCAAAGGGGACGCTCGGACCGACATGTTCAGAACTTATTCAAAGACAATCTCTTTCCGTCCGCATCTGAACTCTCGACCATTGCCAACAACACGTTAGATGCGACGATTGCTCGGTATACCAGCAATAACGCCAATCACGGGCATGAACTCATCCGTTGGAAATCAGGGCTGGACGCTAAGAACCTTCTCGCAAGGCTCAAAGGAATCCTGAAGGAGATACACGGCGACTTCGAGGAGATCGCCAGTATCTCTTGGATATCAGCTTATGACTTGAGCCTTGATCTGTCTCTCTCAGAGACGAAATGCAAGCAGCATGGGTCGCAAATATTACAGCCCTGCTATCAAACTTTCTGTTTGCGGATAAAATTGTTGAGGTAGGTCCGAGTTTTGTGATCAAACCTTATGTTTTCAGTGTTCACTATACTCTATACATTTTAGGTGACCATGGACGACGGGCAAGTCAGGTTGTGTCGAACTCCATGTGGCCACAAGGCCATCTTTGACCTGTTAGAACACATCATATCCTGCAAGCAATACTCTCGCTATATTCCCCTCAGTACAAAGTCTTGGCAACCCCTCCTTACCAACGCCCTCGCCCTTGCAGTAACCTCGCGTGCTTGGTCATTGCAAAAAGCCTTAGTGGGTCCTTGGTCTGCAGCTTTGGACTTTCGCGGCGAGGAGAACAAGGTCTATTACACATCCACGAAGTCTCGTCTACGCATGTTGCCCGAGGATGAATGCTTGAGATTTGACGCATTGTTAATTAGCATGCATTGTGCACTACGGTAACTGGGTGTTTGATATCTCCTGCCTTACTAGATATCTACTCTGACTTGAGCTCACATATGTTTTCATCTCATCGGACTGACAGTCATACTAGTTCCTCGTTGCGCATTGTGATTGTGTTCAAGTTGTGTCGATGTCATACTTACAAATCTGTCTTGCCAATTCCGTATCAGTACTTGTCTCCGAGCATTCAAAACATCTCCACTATGATCTTCACGGCACAAGTTGTTAAAGCGCGCAGACACTAAAGCGCTTGAAGTCTTACTAATACACGAGCAGATTTGCAAAAGAGAGCGGGAGCAATTTTTTCAATAAGCGTGACACGACGTGTTTTGTCTTTCACTTCTTCCTTCTATTATCAAGTCAAGATTTAGTAGCATGGCTCTCATGTATGGGAAGGAAAAGATGCAGAGCATGAACCGAGTGAGTCTTCGATTGCTCGACGACAGAAATTTTAACTCTGACCTTTCGTTGCATTCTTTTCCAAACTCCCAAAGAAATCTCCTGAAACTGGAACGATCCGTCTATTTGATCGCACAGACTACTACTCTGTCCACGGGCAGGATGCTCACTATGTCGCAACACACGTCTTTTGTACCAACTCTGTCCTGGAGTATCTAGGTGCTGGAGGCAAGGCTGGTGGTCTTCCGAGCGTCACGCTCAGCCACACCCTGGCACACTCATTTTTGCGAGATGCCATCACATCTAAACAGCTGCGCGTAGAAATATGGGTGCCCACGCCTGGGCAGGGAAGGAAAGCTTCCAAGTAAGTCAACATTTATGCGGTTTCTTAAGTCCATCTAATTCCAGGCGTCTGCAGGTTCTGGCATATAAGACGATAAAGTTGTCATTCTCAAGGATTCTTTAGCCGCTATTGGACGACACATCGAGATTGTTCTTCAGAATAAACAACCACTGGAGAGGACCGAGAACGATGGTGTCGACATCTTTGGGCGTGAGTACTAACACCTAAACTAGTTGTATCGATGCTCATCTTTGACCACAGTTTCGTAACACTTTTCTGGCCCAAGAAAGTCAAGGCGTCGAAATTGGAGGACATTCATGCCAAAATGGTGATGAAGGAAGCTGCACCACGAGCGTCTGCGGAAGCCTCGACGTCTGCTAAGAAGCCTCGGCCCATTACAGGTGGCAAGAGCAATGGCACACCATCTACCACGATGAAGGCCAATGGCAAAGCCCATTGATAGTACTTCATTGATATTTTACTCATACTCACTCTTGTGCTTTGGATCTTACCCCCGTTTTTGCTTTCACGCTCTCTGGCTATCACGATTAACTTTTTTAAGTCAGGTTGCAATATTCCACAATTCCTTTATCCTTTACTAGATGCCGCCTGGGGTCTCACAGGCCTTTTTTCGCTCTATGCAATTTGCATCATTTGTGATCAATTATCCAAACGGTGCACCAGACGAGGTAAGCTGTGATTTATGTAGTCTCCCTATGACGAAACTCATATGGTATCTTTTCCAGCTCGACTTTTCTTTTTCATCTCAGTTACAAGAAATGCTTTTGTGGTGATAGTGTTGACCATAGCTTCTTGGCTGTACTGCTGACACCGTAAAACCGCCTCCGGTAAATATCCGATTGCCATCTTGGAAACTGTTCCCACAGGGTTCCAAGACGTGGGCGCCCCTGTTATCGATAGCGAGCTTGTCAAAGCCCTCGGGCGACAGATCCCTGTCGCCACCATAATTCTCCTTCTTGAGCACATCGCCATTGCCAGATGTAAGTCACTAATCATCTGACCGTTATGCCCTTTTGACACACTACTTGCAGCATTTGGACGGGTCAATGGATATAAGATCAATCCCAACCAAGAGCTCATCGCTATAGGCGTCACGAACACGCTCGGCACTATATTCCATGCGTATCCTGTTACAGTGAACTACGCTGTCCCCTCTGCCACCTGCACGGCTACAGACGATACCCGGGCCTCTCCTGCCCTTGGGATAGAACACAGGATAGAACACCGGACCGATATAGAAGAGAACTCCGGAAGATGCCGGATTAGATAAGCGGTCTGGACCGCTATGACGACATAGGTCTAGAAGACCTATTCCTGTTATCAAGATAGAAGGCAAGCCTCGTGTTGCCTCGTGTACTGATAGAAGGATGCCTTGTGCTCCTTATCTTAGAAAGAAGCCCGCCTCATGGACGCTATCTCTGACTCGACAGATAAGCAGATTAGAACCCAGCTTCAAGCTGAGCTTAGACACGATAGAGTAGCCTTATATAAGGTCGACGATTAAAGTAGATGTTCCTTACTTTAATCTTACTTGGTTTTATCTTGAACTTCCTTGTCCTGCATAAAGCTACCTTGCTCGACATCGAACTCGTACCTTTGGAAGCTTGTCCTCGACATCGAACCTTCCATCTGTAACCGCTATCATCGCCCCACAAGGCGTACGCAACTTCTGCTCTTCTGTGGAAGCCGACAGAACTCAGCATCCTGAAAGCCGTCTTCTCGGCCTTTGCTGTTTAGCCCATCCAAGTACGAACACGACTTAGTGTCGTAACAAAAGATTAAAGTCTTCACGCACGTCACCATCTGTGACGTCCTGAACGTACCTGCCTCCCACCGGAGCCTGTAGAACCAGAAGATCTCAGATCTCAGATCGCACCGGCCTGACCAGTCGAGGAACCTAAAGAACCGCTGTCACAGTAGAAGACTTCCTGCAGGGAACACTACGAAGAAGAATAGAACCATTTCCAGTATGGCAACATTCACCAGAAACACCTTTGCCGCTAGACACCTGTCCGGAAAGGAGACTCGCATATATCTGCGAGAGAAGAAATGTTTTGTGTGCCACGACATCGGCCACAAAGCCGCGGGCTGTCCTCAATGGACCCGAACCCCACGAAGAAAGATGATCGAAGAAGAACCCCGCTTGCGCACCATCAAGGTGGCCGGGACGATGAAAGAACTACGGGTGAAAGCCACCCTGATCTCCAGAAAGAGAACTACCCCGAGTCCGACTACCATGATTGTAGATTCGGGGGCGTGTGAGTCCTTCGTTCATGAGGACATCATCACGCAGCACAGAATCTCGACGCACCAGCTAGAGAAACCTTTAGTGCTCTCAAATGCTGACGAAACCCGCTTCGGAAAAGAACCGATAGAGAGGTATTGCAACCTCACCTTCCAGATCGACGAACGGGTGATAACCGAAAGGTTTTACCTTGCCGAACTTGCTCCTCAAGACAAGTTCTTGCTCGGATTGCCTTGGCTTCGCAGCCAGAACCCTGCTATCAACTGGATGACCGGCACGGTGACTCTCAAGAGCACCGCAGATTCCCGAAAGAAGGAAAAAGAGATTGACTCCGACAGGAAGAGGAACGGCAAGACGCCTCTCTTCCAGAAAGAAGAAAAGAAGGTAGCCGTAGAAAGAAAGAGATCGGGATCCCCGATAAATCCACGCACCTCCCTCGCATCGAAAGCCCATGAAAGCCTTGCGCCGACGACAAAGATCGCACCGGTCCCCGAGGAACCGCAGTATTCAAATCCCTCAACGATCGTACCACGGCCCACGAAAACCGTGTTGAAGAAAGATTCGCTGCCAAGAATAGACCTTGCAGCCAGACGCTTCGAACAGAAGAAACCGGCCACTGATCCGGAGACAACTCAGAAGAAGACTTCTAGACCGGCTTCGATATTCGACCACGCTTATCCCGAAAAGCCTTCTATAAAGAAGATTGTACCTGCTCTTCAGCAGACGAAGATTGAACCGGCCGTTGAGCCGATGACGAAAGATCCCGTACCCGCCCGATATGAATTCTCGGCGGAACCTGCGTCTGTCCTTGGGAAGGGACGCGCAATGATGAATGAAGAACCGCCTACCCCGAAGGCACCCAGACTGGCCCCTGAACCAGAGAAAACTCAGAGATTTGAATTCTCCGGAGAACCGATATCTGTTCTCGGAAAAGGAAGAGCCGTCCAAACGGCAGAAGCACCTAGAGCCAAGAAACTCAGGTCTTATGAAAGTCCAGCTGATGATACCGACACAGCGGACGAAACCCACGCACCGAATTCCCTCAACCTCACCATGATGTCCGGGGAGATCCCCACTGAATATTCCGATGAAGCAATGACGCTTTCATCTGATCCCGTGTCCACTTCTGACTTTGAAGATTACGATATACGCATGGCGCGGATCTTAGAAGATAAGCATGCTGAACGCATCGCTATTATCAATGACGGACCCAGTTTCGTCCAATTCACGGACCTTGAGGATAATAGAGAAGAAGACGATGATGAACCTCCGCAGCTCGTGCGGATGGTAGATTTAGAAGGAAACGATCTCGACTACGACGGCCCTGACTCGGGCCTCGACTTCTAGAAGATGAATATAGTCGGTGACTATACGGCTTAGGAAGGGGGTAAAACCCTCAATTTGCTCTTATTTGTTTCACACTCCCGACTCCGACCACTTCTGATTCCCGATTTCGACTCCACGATCCTCCGGAACGAGGCTAAACTATCAATGGTCCGCAACGACCTAAAACTAAGAACCTCCGGCATGAGGATTAAACTGCGACGTAAAACTATGAACTGAAGACTGCCTTGTCTCAGTAGATCGTCCGAGATGACGTAAAACTATCGGACAAAGGACGAACTCCGGAAAACTCCTGCAAGCTTCGGAACCCCTTATCCACTGATCTCTTCGATAAACACCCGCGTATAAGAACCACAATCTTAAACGAAAGGTTAAGAAGACCCCCGCGTATCCCACGCATAGAACCTTCGATATCTGATGTGAACATCTAACAAAAGATAGAAGAAGAAGATCCTCCGGAACGAGCCTAAACTATCAAGAGATGAACTCCCTGGAAACTCCTGCAAGCCCGCGGAACCCTCGAGAACCCGACCCATCATGGCAATGACTAGCACCCTCTGATGAAGATTCCTGAACCTTGATAACCAACAAAGGATAAAGGAAAGAACGCACCTATCACGGCACTTCCCTATGATAGCGAAAACGAGGCATCGATAAGCCCTCACGATTGAACCTTGATAGGAGATAAAGAGTTAAAGAAACAAAAGATAAGCATGAATCAAACGGAGCTTGAAACGATCTGGAAGAAGATATAAACCCTGACTTCCCGAAAACATTCCTTCAACGAACCTCCATCATGTCGACCTCTATTGAAGAAAACTCTCCTGTCACTGTGACACTGAAGGACTCCGACTACGGACGTATCCTCAGAACGATTGAGAATAGCGCGTTCAATGAAACGGCTATCTTAACACCCGCGTACTCCCAAGTGATCGACGACATCCTTGGTGAGCTTGACGCCAAACTTGCAGCAGGCACCTCCCTTGCCGTCTGCATTATAAGAACCACGAAGCTACTGGAAGATGTAGCCAATCGTGCTGACCTTGATGAAGAGACGAAGAAACTCGCCATCATTCATCTACAGAAACGGATCCGCGGCCTCGCGCTCCATCTACTCCCGCTTGATTTCCCCGACATCGCGAACCAAGCTGTTAAAATTGTAGAAACCAGAAAGGCCAAAGAAGAAATCCGTCCGGTACGCCCGCCTAGAAAACGAAAGGCTACCACAGATTGTACCCATACGACGCCATGCAAGCGCTGCGGAGGATACGGACATCATTGGAAGAAGTGTCCCGATTATGTTTGTTGCATCTGCGATGAACTCGGACCCAACCATTTGTCCATATATTGTCCTGGACTCAATGGACGCATCGTCCTACAAGAGTTTACAGATGAAGAGAAGTTTTTCGAAGCTCTCTCAGATTGGGAGCACAACCACAAGGCGCTCGCGGACCTAGAACTTCGGTATCCCGCCGAACTGTCCCTTGACCCTGAAACTCCCTCCGCACCATCCGCCTCTACGTCCACGAAACCGGCGCCGCCGTCCTTGACGATGGAGGATGTCGTAGATAGTCAAAGCCGGTGACTTTGACGATAGTAATGGGGTAATGTTACAGTGAACTACGCTGTCCCCTCTGCCACCTGCACGGCTACAGACGATACCCGGGCCTCTCCTGCCCTTGGGATAGAACACAGGATAGAACACCGGACCGATATAGAAGAGAACTCCGGAAGATGCCGGATTAGATAAGCGGTCTGGACCGCTATGACGACATAGGTCTAGAAGACCTATTCCTGTTATCAAGATAGAAGGCAAGCCTCGTGTTGCCTCGTGTACTGATAGAAGGATGCCTTGTGCTCCTTATCTTAGAAAGAAGCCCGCCTCATGGACGCTATCTCTGACTCGACAGATAAGCAGATTAGAACCCAGCTTCAAGCTGAGCTTAGACACGATAGAGTAGCCTTATATAAGGTCGACGATTAAAGTAGATGTTCCTTACTTTAATCTTACTTGGTTTTATCTTGAACTTCCTTGTCCTGCATAAAGCTACCTTGCTCGACATCGAACTCGTACCTTTGGAAGCTTGTCCTCGACATCGAACCTTCCATCTGTAACCGCTATCATCGCCCCACAAGGCGTACGCAACTTCTGCTCTTCTGTGGAAGCCGACAGAACTCAGCATCCTGAAAGCCGTCTTCTCGGCCTTTGCTGTTTAGCCCATCCAAGTACGAACACGACTTAGTGTCGTAACATATCCCGCTACAGGATCGTTCTCCCGTTCTGCCTTGAGGTCGAAGTCGGGCGTGCGGACTCCTCTGGCTGGTATTTTCAGTGCAATGGTTGTCATCGTTGCCCTCTATGGCCTTCCCCCAGCCTTTTACTGGATCCCTAGCGCTGGCCTTTCGGCCGTTATCATACACGCGGTCGCTGATCTTGTCACGTCACCTTCCCAAGCATACTCTTACTGGTGTGTTTCCCCCCTCAAGTTTCTTATTTGGTTGGCTGCAGTCCTAGTCACCATCTTTTCGTCTATTGAGAACGGCATCTACACCTCCATCACGAGTCGTCTCGGGGTAAGTGCATAGCATGGCCAATATCGTGCTTGTTCGCTCACCCCATCCTACAATCACAGCCTTTGTTAACTCCTCAAGTTCCTGCCATTCTTGATGCAGTCTTCGAGCCTACATTGACCATGATCAACCAAGACTTTTCTGAGTTCCCAGAACATCGCGTTGGGTTCTTCAAGCTCCTCCGAGCAATCAACTTCCCTGGTATGTGTTTCTTGATTTTAGAATCATCTCCTCGCACTAAAAACTTTACAGCTTTGCTTGGCATCCCACCGCAACAGTTCAAGCTGTTCATGGACAGTATCATCTGGGCAATTAAGCACACGATGTGTGATATTGCTGACACCGGACTCAACTGTGAGCACATACTTCACGTACATGGAGAGGGCGCACTTACGGTTTCTTTTAGTATGCCTTGATGTGGTCAACAATTTTGCTGGCGCAGAGACTGCTGTCAGCAATGCGTTTTTCCAACAGTACTTCCTGAGTATTGTGCAAGATATATTCTTTGTACTCACGGACACAGACCACAAGAGTGGTTTCAAACTTCAAAGTCTTCTACTCGCTCGCATGTTCCAGCTAGTTGAGACGAACCAGATCCAAGCACCCCTATTTGATCCTGCGCAGATGGCAGATCCTACCGTTTCAAATTCCGTGTTCCTTAAAGAATATTGTGCCAATCTATTGAAGACAGCATTCCCTCATGTGCAGAAGTGCGTCCCCTTTTTCACTTTCCTGCTGGCATCTCTGAATGATTTCTGCAGCTCGCAAGTTCAAGTCTTCGTCTCGGGTCTTGGCGAGTTCCACGGCGATATCAACCGCTCTAAGCTCGCTCTACGTGACTTCCTCATCCAGCTTAAGGAGATCTCCTCTGGCAATAATGCCGAGCTGTTTTTAGAAGAAAAGGAAGCAGAAGCACAGATGAAGGCCCAAGCAGAATGAGAGATGGCCATGTGTATCCCTGGCATGCTCAAACCTTCGCAGCTCGAGGACAAAGACGAGGATACATCATGAAAGGTTTCAGTCCTTCTGCCATGTACCGTAGTTTCTCGCACAAGTTGCGCCCCATCTCACCCTGCATGCTAGTACGTCTCACTTGCCTTTCCTCAGAAAGTGGATGAATCTCATTTTATCACCCTTTATCATAGCAACTCATTCTGCTATCGAAGATTTCTTGTGTTCTCGGTATCTAATATATTAGTGTGTAGGCCAGGCAATACAAGAAAGTAGTAATTGCGCCATCAACAACTCCGTCATTGTTGATCATGTGAGGGAAAACATGAGACGTGGAATTGACTTCAGCACAATAAAAATGGCCGATCGTCCCTGGAATGATCCCGGACCAACTCGTGGCAACTCCCTGAGTGCAGAGGCAGCCAACAATGAAAACCTGTTCTTCATGCCATTGTGCTAGACTTCCCTGGAGTGTAAGACATCTACCCTCGCTCTTCTTTTACGAAAAAACACACTCATTTCTTATTCCTAGATCTCAAATCGATACCACATTTGTCCAAGCCCTCGTAGACACGCGGACTGAGGTCCAGAAATGGGCAAACCGTCCTGTAGAGGTCAGTCACAGTATTCATCCCACCATCCTGCGCAACTAATGCAATGCAATACTACAGTTCCATTTTGCTACCATCCTGTCTCCTTAAATCCGGCGTGCTCTTGTAGCCGCAGGTTTTGGCATCGGTACCCCAGCAGTCGAGCTTTCTAACGAAACCGCATCTGTTGTACCCCACCGTGGCAGTCGCCGTGAGAAATTGTTGGATGATGCCTCCAGTGTAGGCGTCGAAGACATCGAAGCCCACAGCGAGTCTCTTCCTCCTACTTCGGGAACAGTGCCTATTGTCCCCATTGAAACCCCCTTCTTCCATTTCGATCTCATTAGCGCTGTCCGCGCCGTGGAGGCTGGTGTGGAGAAACTTCGCGAGAGAGCTGAAACTCCACCGGCAAAATATATCTGGTTGAACCATCTAAGATTGGACGACTGCACGAAGGGGTCCTACTTATTTACGTGTGCACTCAGATAAACTCAAGTGGAGCGCGCACATGGCGTCGACACCATATTGGAAATCGCTCCGTATGTAGATGATGCATGTATCAAATTATCAATTACATTCTCCACCGCGATGAAATTTTGATTTCTGCGGCTCCCCATTACAGCAAAATGAAGGGCTGCACTTACTGGCCCATCAGCGGGTTGGATTGTGCTATGGAGTGCTACAGAGCACTCTGTAGCACTCTGTAGTGAATTACGTTTACCTGATGTGTAACAAAAATACATGTCCAGCACCAAAGGTATCAGAAGGGCTTGAATAGCATTGTAATAGGACAAATAAATAGGGCCAAACGGCAATACACGAAATAGTTGGGATAAGTCTACTACCACCCCTCATCGTCTGAAAAGGAGGAATGTCATAGCTTTGTGGCTAAATCTAATGGCATTCTAGATTAATTGACAAGTGCCAGAGGCTCTTTCCTTGAAAAGGCCTTGAATAACATTTTAATTAAAAAACGAGACTAGGTGAGATGTCGAAGCTCAAAACGATCGGCTCGGGTATACTACCACTACTCATTGGCTGCAAAGGCGGAATGTCCCAGCATTGTCATAAATCATTCATGTTAAGTTGGATTTACAAGTATACATGGGTATATATGTGCAACTCAAATTGCTCGCAGTATAAAAGCTAATATTTGGCGGCAGCAGAATTACATCGTGCTATACTTCCCACGGCTACAATATCGAGGACTCATCAATTCACTGATGTACTCCCCCACGGTACGAAATGCCATGAATGGGACAACCATGGTTTGCGCCTCTCGATCATGTGGCGGGAAGGTGATTTGTATGTGGTGCCCTTGAACTCACCAGCACTTTGATGATCTCAAGAAAGGTGACTCGGAATCATGGGTCGCTCAAGCTGTTCGATTGTAGGGTTGTCTTTGGCATTTGGAATGGCAAAACCGGAGGGATACATGTCGTAAACTACGGTTTCAACTACCACCGGCACACGATAAATGTCCAATTGGAGATAATCGCGACGAAGCGGCATAAAAGTTTGAGTCGAGTTGAACGAGTAATGGTAAATAAGAGTCCAAAAGAAGAAGCGGGTTTTGGCGGCTATGTATAGATAAGCCTGAGAACGTACTAGACACTGCTAGAAAACTGGTGGACCCATCTAGAAGGTCATCACCATACCCATTGCCACCCTCAACCACCGGAAATCCCTGTCTTGGAGTTACCAATTCAAAACCCCGAATCCAACGTTCATTAATCACAGCTGACTTGAATCAGAGTTTGAGAGGGTTCAATGCTAATGGCGAATCGCACATACCCATGAATCATGATGCAGAGCAGACCAAAGGAAGCCTCGCGATCGGATGTCCGCTACGAACGTTCCAGGGAACAGAAGCTCAACATGTCACCGGGTGGAAATTCGAATACTACCGTGACGTCTTTGGATAGCAACTTAATCGAAATTCGAGGGCATGGCCAATCAAGTGAATCAGGTGAACCGTGTATGTCATCTTCCTATCTGCTGCGTGGATACCTGAAACAATTGCCATCAGGATCATTGACTGATGTGGAACATTGCAGCGACACGACTTGGATGCATGAGCCCATTCGCTTAGATTGTCAAGCAAGGTACTTGTGATAATAGCCTCATGTTTTGGGCGTCTAGTGAGGAGGTGATGCTATGAAGCAGGTTTAAAACACCCCATCACACGCACCCCTGCAACTTCGAGCAAGACGCCATCCCCCTCAACTGTGCTGCAGCTCCACTAAAATGGCGGCGCTCATCCCAAACATCACTCCCATTCGAGCATTTGAAGATCACGAGGATCGCGTGGTCGCAATCGCAGTTTTCAAAACCCAATATTGCGACGACGAATGCATGGTCACGGGCTCATATGATGGAATGCTTCGTCTGTGGGACTTGAAAATAGGTGTAATGTTGAAGAAGATGGGGGGGCATCGCAGTCGAGTGCGGGCATTGGCTGTTTCACGAGATGGGAAATGGATAGCCAGTGGCGATGAGAGCGGAGAGCTCATCGTCTGGCATGCAAATACTGGGGAACTCAACCAAACAATCAGTAAAACCCACGACGGCTGGATATTATCACTCGACTTTTCTTTGGATTCCAAGATGCTGGCCAGTGGATCATCTGACACTACCACGAAGCTATGGAATACATCAACGTGGCAAGTGAACCATACACTCAGTTGTGGTGGAACTGTTCACTGCGTTCGGCATTCGCTGCTCTCTTCGCAAGTACTTCTTGCCATTGCAACGGACCACAATGTCCAAATTTACTGCTCTTACCCTTCAAACAATTACAATTACAATTACGATAACGATTACGATTACACACCACCTCCTACATTCCCCACTCAGTTGATGGCAGTGATCAGTGGAGGATTCAACTACTCACTCACATGGACTCCAGATGGCACACGGCTTCTCTCGGGGGGCAACGGGGCTGATCCCACACTACGAGAGTGGGATACATCGACCTGGAAGCAGGTCGGTGATCCCTGGAAGGGCCATTTCAAGGATATCCATACCATTTCTGTGGACCCTAGCGGCACTCTCCTTGCCTCCGCATCTCATGACAACCGTGTCCGCCTCTGGAAACTCTCAGATCGACGAAACGTCGCCATATTCAAGCACTCTGGAGAGGTGAACTGCGTCACGTTCTCTGCGAATGGCAAGCACGTCCTCAGTGGAGGTGTGGACAAAAAGATCTCAGAATGGCCGACATCCGAGGATGCTTTGCCAGAGGATGGTTCAAAGGACGGCCTCATGAAAGAGCAGGAGACGCAGCAGGTACGTTCGTTTCATTTTCCCGCTCATTCATCATCTAAGCGTCTTCTTTATGCCAAGGCTCAAGCCTACTCTGATTTCAAGGCATGTTCCAACCCTTGACTCTTATAACGCAATGCGAACATGATTTACGCAGGTCCTCGCTATGAACTCGACAGTCCGCAACGCATGCATAGCTGGGGACTGGCCTACCGCTGAAAGGGTGCTGAATCTAGACATTTACAATGACACCCACGATCACACCACTTATGCCAATCGCGCGTTTGTTATGGCGCGAAAGTGCGACTGGGACCAAGCACTTCAGGACGCAATTCAGGTGAGACTGACTGGTCCATCATGACCCCCTTACAAAGGTTAACTTTGATGATGACATAGTCCATCAGCATTAAGCCATCATTGGCAGGCCATATCTCCGAGGGCATTGCCTTCTGTGGAAAAAGGCAGGTTCTGGCCGCGAGGATCTCATTTGACCTCGCATCCATGTTCACGAACCGAGATTTAAAGACCAATCACTTCCTTTTCTTGATCAAGGCAGGTATTATTTTTCTCACTTACTCCGTGCTTCATTGCGGGTTTTAGACCATTGCGTTGTTCAATGCAAATGAACATCAAGAGGCAATACTTCGCATCCGAGAGTTAGCTGCGTGTCCCTATGTCAATCCTGTCGCTTGTCATATCGTGGAAGTGAGTACCCGTTCGATCATATCAGGTTCATGTGTTGTCATTGATTCATGCCCTTCGTACACCAGGCCTACCTACGCGTCCAACTGGGAAACATTGCCTTGGAGGGCGCACGCCACAGCGAAGCTGTTGAACACTTCACTGCTGCTGTCAACGCTAGCAATTTCTTTTACAAATTGCCGATTCATTTGATATACGATGAATTTGTCGTGGTACGCTAATATGACACAATCAAAAACTCTTTCGTGCTTAACTGTATGTTTTCCACAGCTTTTTGGTTGGGACCTCAAGTCCTTATGGCAAACCGCGAACCAGCAACAGTGTTGTGCATTCGTTCGAGCAGGTAGTTTTGTAACAGCCATCGAATTGTATCAGTCTATCATGGACAAGGTTGATGAAGATATGAAGGCCGACTTACGTGCTTGGTTCGCTGGTAAGTATTCAGTCATGTCTCCCCGTCTAACATCATTCACTGTACTTCACTCAGCTCTGAAGTAAAATCGAAACGCGCTCTATGTTTCCCATAGAGATGGTGTACTCGCAGCGAGCGGTCGCTCCTATAGTTTGAAACAGTTTCATTTGTACCTTGACGGTGGCTGCATTGTTCAAATAGTTTTCAGTGCTCGTGTCCTGAACAGCAGCAGCAGCCGGAGCGCATGTGAAGGACCTTCAAGAGTTGGTGAAGCATAGACAGGGACATACCATAGATGATTCGATACGGAACTGGCGTATCACAATGTGCGTCATGAGATGATTCGTGCATAACATGAACTCGCAAACTTCTACGAGAAAATAAGGTGGCATAGCTGCGATTTCCTATAATTTAACACTTCAAACTAAGTAACTCGGAGCTTGACGAGCTCGTTTGTTCCATGTTCAATTGGCATAGAAACTCACGAGCGTGCATCATCTACCTTCAGGAGTCGCTGGAAAGGGATGGACTCTACAAGAGCTACTCTCCCCACGGCATGAAATCCTCTAAACCGGACAGGACGCTGCTCAACGACAAAAACGGTGATGAATCGTGATCTCTGTCTCCAAAATCACCAAGACTCTGACGAATGAACTCATAGGTCTCATTCCAGAACGCAATCTGAGAACGCCCATCATAGACATCCCACAGGTCAACTATTCGTATGCAGGACATGGCTGATTCCTCGAGTGGGATTTTGACATCAGCCTCCGTCACATACGGAGAAAGCAGGAGCGTTCTATCGATTACTCAGAGCGTGCCGAAATGCTATCGCAATCAGAGCTGTGCAGGTCAGATAGACTCGAGAGAGGAGACAAGCTATTCGTCATGACGAACCATGGTCTGCGCCTGGAAATCATGTGGCGGGAAGGTGATTCGAGATCCCAACAAGCGTCTTCACAGAAGGATGTGATTTGGACGTGTTGCCCTTGAAGTCACCAGCACCTTGATGATCTCACAAACAGGTGACTCGGAATCATGGGTCGCTGTTTTCTTTTGTTCAGGTCTGTCTTCGGCAATTTGAGTGGCGAAACCGTAGGGATGCAGGTCGTAAATTGCAATTTCCTTTACCACCGACGCACTGTGAATAGATCGCAACGAAGCGACCTATCCGAGTCGAATGAGTAATGGCAACCAAACCGGCTATGGATAAGGCAAATAAGTCACGAGCAGCCAAAAGAAGCGGCTACGAAGATAAGAAATGTGGAGCGAACGGCAATGAGAACAGAAGTCTATCAAATAACGGAATATAGTTAGCAGTGTGTGATCCAAATGTCAATTCACGGATGATGGTTCATACAAGGGCAAGCTTTTTATTCACTCATTCGTCAAGTCTGGGATCTACAACGGTTGAGAAGAATGGTAAACTTCAGCAGGACAAGAAGATCAAAAATGACACGCTATCCTACCCACACTATGCACCGGTACCAGCGGATCTCCACCATCGTACATGTCCATCCTGCCCACCAGTAATGAATGCACCCGCGGTGCCAGGAGCGGGTGGTTTTGGGGACCAGGCAACGCTCCATACTTCGCCGCTTTCTTGGAGCGTTGAGACTGCCGCGCGTGCCGATAAGTCCCAGACCTTGATCGTTTTGTCAGCGGACCTGGTGAACAAGAATTACTAAGATTATTTTCTGGTAGAACGTGATATACCCTGATGCAGCTAGACGTCCATCTGGCGATATGCTGGTGCTGAGCACCCAGGAAGAGTGGCCCGTGAGTGTGGCTACTGCTCCAGAACCCGGTTTCCCGGATGGAGTCGACCGTACATCGTGAAGAATAAGGCGTTTGTCATCAGAGGCTGTCAGTAATAACTGGACACCGTTCACTTAGGCCACTTTCACTCGATAAAATTGATGAAACAGACCTGACCGTCGGATGACCATGCTAATGATCGCACACACATGGCATGCGAAGAATAGGTTGATGTTAAAGCTTGTGATTCCAAGTCAAATATGAAGACTTGGCCAGCTTCGTTTGATAATGCCACTCGAGTACCATCTGGACTCTAATCATCAGAAGTGATTCGTTAGTTATTGTGGACGTTCTGGATGTTTCGAAATTCGGGGCATTGCTATATTTAAATAAAATAAACTCACATGCACACAATCCATACCGTGTCTACTCCTACCACTTGTCAAGACTGCTTGTCGTGTTCCGAAAGAGTCAGGGTTCGCGGAGTAGATATTCACATTTCCAGAGCTGCTGGTGCCCGCATATGTCGTTCCATTCGGATTGAGTGACACTGACCAGGCTAGGCACATGCAACATCATGAGAAATCATGCTTTCTTGGAGTCCGTACTACAACTCACAAGGCTCAGCGCCTTGCACTGTAGAGCGGTCGTAGCTTTCATGACGCCCGACCACGGTATCAGCCTGGAGATTCCAAAGCCATGTTGTACCATCGAGACCATTGTACAACGCGAACTTTCCGTCAGGTGAGACAGATAGAGAAACTATGGCAAGATTGTGTGGCGGACGCGAGATCGACACCTGTCCAGAGGTAGAATCCCACTGCTTCACCGTGCCGTCTGCGGATGCGGACACGGCCGTATTATTGGCTGTCCATGCTACAGCCCAGATCTCGTCACTGTGCGCTGTAAACGATAAGTTTAATGAAGCCTGCTTAAAAGTTGTAACACTCTGGCGCGTACGTTCTTTGCACTCAAGCGCGTTAACGAATGCGAGACTCTAGCAAATTTTATAATCTAACTGCTATGCATCAGAGAATGCGAACAAACCATATCTGACCGCTTTTGTGGTGGATGATTAGGAACAGTGTAAGGCCAACCTCGATCACAAGAAGATGAAATGGGATAACGGCTCTTTCCGAGCGGACTTAAAACACACACAAAACCTTGTTGATGGCCGGAACCTTATTTTTCCTCACATCAACGAGAGCGGACGAAGACATCGCAAATTCTGTAAACTAATCCCAAAAGTATGTTTGTCTATAATAACGCCTACTCATCTATCTGATTGTAAAATAAAGGATGTCTGACGCTGGAGATGAAATTCAAGTCGACACCCCGGCCGCTGAGGTCGAGGTCACTACTGAGGCTCCAAAGGGAAAAATGTCCGTGGAGGACGCTCTTCAGGTATGTAGAACTTGGGTTTTCCAGTCAGGTTTTATCCATTCTTAACTTTGATCTCATAGCAAGTCCTGAAGAATGCCCTTGTTCGTGATGGTCTCGCTCGTGGTCTCCGCGAGTGCGCCAAGGCATTGGACAAACGCCAGGCCCACCTGTGTGTACTTGTAGAGACCTGTACAGAGGCCGAGTACATCAAACTTATCGAAGCACTCTGCGCAGAGCACAAAATCAACCTGATCAAGGTCGGAGACGGCAAGATTCTGGGCACATGGGCAGGTCTTTGCAAGATTGACAAGGAAGGCAACCCCCGCAAGGTCGTGGGTTGCTCTTGCGTCGTTGTTAAAGACTATGGTGTAGAGAGCGAGGGTCTCAATGTACTCCTTGAATACTTCAAGAACCGGTAGGGTGAGTACCATTCCAATTTTCATATCACGATGACAAGACAGACTCCCTCAACGGAGAATCCGTTCGATGAGGAAACAGTCTAACCGGAATCATTATATCGTCTGATCCTTATTCGTGTTTTCGCGTGAAACCTCATCATTGACTAACATCTCTCTACACTACAGATTCTTTCGTACCCTTGTACATCATTCTCGTACATCTGCGAATAAATGATCTCCTTTGTACCTTGCGTGTTGGATGGCTGATTGTTCCTTCAATTTCTGTGACTGACTGTCACCGGTCACATTTGCCAGCACGGGGCCTGAGATTTCACACATGCTACATTGACCAGTTTTTAAGTTTGACCAGACAGACCTTGAGAGTTGGCAAAGAGTCTTCAATTGAACGTTGAGCAACTAATCGTAGTATCCAAGATTTTATGCATATGAGTTGCATGTAGTTTCTTGCCGAAACTGTGTCGGCCGGAGTAGCGTTAACTCCGAGTACATGATGCTTTTCAGACTTATATAGCAAACTCCCCAAAGTTTCAACTCTCTAAGAGGTCATGGCCTCCCCAAAACCTAGTAGTCGAGCGCCTCATAAGGCTGCCATGTCGCGAACACCATCATATATCCAACTTGCACCCCGCCGCGCGATGGCGTCCTTTGAGAATCTCGTCGCACTCGCAAACCACCAAGAGCGACTTCGGGAAGCTCGAAGGATTGTCTGGAGGGAGCGCGGAGAGCCTGCTGTTGAGCTTGAAGACCTTTGGGAGTGTATGGAGCATGCGGGGCGTGGAGGACTAAGTGAGTTATCATTTGACATACTCACGGTAGTACGCGTTCTTCATATTTGACATGTAGGAGCTGCAACTATCGCTTTTGCTCTCCGTGCGAGCGTGAATCTTGTGTTGGCAACTATAAGAATGGGAAAGGTGCCAAAGTGAGTTAGGGCTGGACCTTCACTCAGATCCCTGGTCGACTGAGTTGTACAGGAACATGAGGCTCTCACTCATTCAACATGCGATCTTCGGAAAGGATTCCTTTAGATTCGCGGCCATGCTTGGTGAGCGAATGAATGTTATAGTATCTTATGCAAGCTTCTTCTTATGGACTGCACAGGTTCCTTCGTGACTGTTTACAAGGCAACACTCAATGCCCTCCCCATCCTTCTTCCTGTCAATGAACGTGCAAGCCCACCCTCACCATTTGAGGACGAAAACGAAGATATCGAAGTCCCACCAACGCCTTTCGAGGTTCCCCTCTCAGACAGACAGCCACGCCTTTCCTTAAGCGCTCAAGCACATCAAGTGTGGGTGCGTAAGAAGACGCGACGATGGTACTCTATGTTTGCTGGTGCTCTAGCCGGTGGCCTCGCTGTTATGTTTGAAAAGCGATCAAGAAGAGTGGTCATCGCACAACAACTCTTCGTTCGGTAATTTACTCTACTTTCATGATAATGCGACGATTCATTTAACAGCGATGTCTAGAGGTTTACAAGGTTCATATAACGCGTTTACGTCGAAGCACGGTTTCCATCTACCTAATGGAGAAGTGCTCATGTTTTGTCTTTGGTATAGTCTGTGTATTATGGTAGAGGTCTTAGTCCTGACATGAACAGCTGTACACAAATTGTGTACGCATTATTTGCACGGCCAGACACACTCCCGCGATCATACACCACATGGTTAGTCGATTAAAATGTTTTGCAGCATATTTTTGAAGAATTTCTTAGGCTTACAACTGCATCGGGCGCTCCACCAAGCGCGATGAAGATGGTCCAAGACATAAACCAGACTGGGACGTTTGACATACAAGACATCAACAAGATCCTCAGCCGCGAGGTGAGTTTTTTATGCTGACTCTCCTCGCTACATTCTCACTTGCTTGACAGGATCTTATCCCCGCAAATAAGGCCACTCTTCTTGCTAGAAGGGCACTAGCTACCAATTCGCCTCCTGACTTTGGGCCATCTTACCCTCCCTGTGGTGCCGTGCACCCCTGGGTAGAATCATGCACACACGTGCCGCTACCACGCTTTGTCACAGTATTCAAATGGGCCTTCCCAATCTATGGT